CAAACATGTAAACAAATATAAGCTAAAGAAGAAGAAAAAAAGACTTTGAAAACTACATGCATAAAGAAACACAGCAATACTGTAAAGTAGAAACGCCTCAAAAATGCACTGTTTGATTAAACCTAAAGGTTAACAGGGCAATTGGCGCAGATGATTTGTTACCGAATGGCAAAACCCTCTTATGCACTTTATCCAAATAACCTTGCTCGCTCCCTAATTAGCGCTGTCAGCTCTGAGAGGGACCGTGTTGCGGGTGTGCTGCAGCAAGAGAGGACTGTAGGAAGGCAGACGGCAGTGCAAATATCTAAGTAAACTCCCTGGTCTAATAACACGATCCTTCTGCCCTGAGGTTAAACAGACCCACTAATCACTCACTTTGTTTGGTTTGGGTTTTGCATTCATCTAGGCAGCACCCACAAGCGACGGACGTCCGTGCCTTCGCTCCTCTGCCGTTCTTGTGTCTCTCAAGCTTTAAAATTAGGCTAAATACATGAATGCAGAAACATCTGCCCACTGAAAATAAGTGATGAGTACATATACACATTTAATAAACGCTGGCACTTGTTCGTGCATGTTTAATGACTGGTTATGTGGATTTCTTGATCAATCAGAGCAGACATGCTTTACCAGCAGACCATGCATATAGATCCATCATATATACTGACGCATAGGTCTCAGATATTCTAAAGAGATGCGGCGTCATGGGAAGATTGATGCATTGGCTTATAAATAGGCTGACAGCCAGCCTTTCAGACTGTTACACAATCAAGCTTTTTTATCCAGACACATGCCCCCCCTGCTGGGATGTTGGCTGAGAGCAGATAATGAAGCGCCAGTGGAGATGTCCACTGAGATCTATGACCAGGTTTACACTTGGAGAAGCAACCCCTCCCCCCTTTTCCTTCCAATCATAATGCTGATGTTGCAATAAAACAGCAGCCCACACTTGCAGGAGGGCCCCAGCAGTTGCAGTCAGGGGACACCAAGTACTAGGAAATTGCATTACAGACATTCCCCTCAGAGTATTTAAAAATGGAAACACTGGAAGGCTTGTTTTATTGCTTGTGCTTTTCGAAGAGGTCTCTCCAAAGTGCTTCCGACAGTTCATAGCAGTGTGAACATGTTTTTGTTATAAGACAGTTACAACTGCGCTCTTAGGGGGATCTCGTGGAGATGCAGAAGTCATCAGACATAAAACAGCAATCTCACAGAGGGGTTGTCTGAGGTCAAGTTGTGATAAGTGAAAATGTGATATGAATGGTTTCATCACTAGATATCAAATCTTGCTTGGCGAGTACCTTTTCTCATTTTCCATAACCTGGATGCCACATCTTTTTTCTGTCTACACTTCTCTGCTTAATATTCATAATAAAAAAGCAAGACCATTTGAAGAGCCTTCAAATGGCTTAAGCCTCAGTCAGGCGACCTGCAGTCTTAAGGTACCCATCATTAGGTTTATCTATTGCTCCAGGCCCCTTACTTGTTAAGAGGTAATTTTCAAACAAAGGAAATGCATCAGATTAAAGGAGTTTTGGTATCGCTATGTAGCCAGCGTTAGCATTGACAGCTGTTTGCTTACCAGTGTAGAACAAACAAGTTGCAAGTTCAGCATCAAACTTCATTCCTTTACTCGCCAGGAGCTGTCTCCAGCGGTGGAAACCAACAGCAATGTTAACTCTTATGTTTATCCTGTCTTTCTTCCACCGATGCTAACATGCAAACTAGCTAGTCTCGTCACTTTCATGTGGCGGCTCATTGCAGCCTCCAATCTGCCCTGAAGACGTAGCGCTACTCAGTGTGCGTATTATAACCGCTTGTATTGTAAACACAATGATGGCTGAGGCTCTTGACAATCACCACCACCCATTCCTGGCAAGAAACCACATTCGGCAGCAGAGAAAACTTAAAAATACCCCCTTTATAGAGAAACCGTTATTTCAGTATTTCGGGTAAACACTGCATAAATTTGAGAGATAAGTTTCAAGATTAGGCAGACCATCAATATGTATACTGAAGGTGCCTGGAGACAAAGGGGTAAAGAACAAAATCTGATTGTCCACACAATAACTGGAATAAGTAAATTTAGTTTTGCGATCCCAGCCACAAAATATGAACTCAGTGATATCTGTGTAGTTAAGGAATTTTCTTTTAAATTGTGAAAATAGCACATTAAACAATAGTTCTGGCTTCTTGAGCTAAAAGCCAACGCTCTAACCAGCTGACAATCATCTCTCAGCCAGCAAGTTACAAATCTCATTCCCATATATCTTTACGGGGCTTAGACACATTTCGGGATTTTATGGTCCACGTAGCGTCTGAGCAGTTCAGCAAGCATGCTCCCTACCAAACATTTAGTGCTCCTCAGTGATGACAGTGTTCTGTACAGGTCAGTCACTTTATTTAATAAGACCCCCTCCCCCTCGCCCTCCCTAGAGGCTGAGGTAATTCTTTGGAGATTAAGGTGATAGAGTGTGGATAAAGACAGCCGCCTGGGTCAAGCTGTGCCCAGGGAGAACCTACGCTGTTCCTTATAACCTTGGTGGACATTTTTTACTGTCACACATAAAGTGAAGTCCACTGCCTTGAGCGGTGAAGGAACTTATCTTAGGTCATGCCACCCTGCAGCCAGTCAGTGTGCAGTATATCTCATCTGTATGTTAAGCCTTAAAGCATATTTGTTGAGATTGCTCAGATTTGCTCGTGGGGGAATTAACTGCCTGACGATGAAGGAGATTGCAATCCACGTACAAAGCTGCGTATTAGGTATTTTAAACTCTTATCATCTGACAATTTTATGAATAATTTTCATCATCTCATAATGTGGCAGAATTGCTAGGAGCCTTCAAATCCTCTTCCTACATGATTAGAGAACATTGAAGTACATTTATGTTTATGCAATGTCTGATCAGTCTCACTGGTTTTCCGTATTAGCATAATAAATGAATTAGAGCACCAGAGACAAAGATTATTAGGCAGATTTTCACCACGAGGGAAATCACTTGGACAATGTATTGTCTAACTATGTGAGACAACAGCGATGCGTCACACAGCCTCAATGTGTTTCAACCTCCAGCTTTCCCCAAGTTCTTCGCTCGCTAAAGCTATGCTAATTTTTGCATTCTGACGAAACGACCTTCATTTCCCCAAGGCAGCTGTGTCATTTCAAAAGTGTGGGGGCCTCTGTGATCTCTCCACTGTCTTGTGCTCTGTGATTAGTCATAACAGTGAATGGCATTCTGCAGACAGTAATGGCTAATATGTCCATGCAGCAACATGCCATAAACACAAGTTGTTATCATTACATCTCTTCACCAGCACGGACTGGCTTAGTGTACTAAACACTGCAGCCTCGGGGTTTATCCCTTTTATCAGCTGCTCCCGCCTTTCGCTCAGCTTCACCAGGTCAAGTTCTCTGCCTTCAGTTCAAAAGCAGGTGTGACATTGTTTCGTTCTTGCTCTTCATATGCTGAAGACATAAACAGCGGCTCGTTAAGAGTTGTTTCTAATAAGCGTGCAAGGCTTGGTTAAAGAGATTTCTCTACTACTTTGGTTTCCGCAAGGTGCTCTGCCTGAAATTTGCATTTAAACATGAGGTGTGCTTGTTAGTGGCTCATCTGGAAATATGAGTGAGAGTGCTGCAGCACTCAGGGATAATGGTCTCAGAGGGCTGTGGCTTCCCTACAGGGTGCTGCACGTATGGTGAACTTAGCCCACATTCATTTACATTGGAGGCAGAGCCACCATCATTTTCTTGATTGTCGTGCAGGACGTGTACATTATGTATCTTGGGTTAACAGGTCTACAGGGACTGAGGACTGCATAATTTACAGAGTGAGGACTGTAACCTAAATCCCCAGTCGAAAATTGTGATGTTTTCCTACCCTTGAAGCGACATCACTGGCTTCTAACCGTGGATGACCAGTGAAGAATCCCAAGGAAATACAATGATATCTAATGTCAATGTTTAGTAGGAATGCAGGAAATTAAGTGTCTTTAAAGTATCAATGTGGACAACATGTAGGAAGGACTTTCAGGGCAGATGTTGGTGTTCATGTCACATTCCTACAAGAAACGTCATGTTTTTTTTAACCTAGCCACAATCTTGCTTGCTTGAATTTTAAGCAAGTGTTTTAATTGGTTAACCTTGACCATACATGTTCCCAAACATTTGAGGAAATGTTTGACATTTTGGGAAATACACTTCTTTACTTTCTTGCCGAAGGCTAGACAAGCTCAAGACTCATATCTTTGCATTAGATATAAAGCTACAGCCAGGAGATTGTTAGCTTATTGCAGAGACTGCAAAACTCTGTGTAAAACCAAAACCTATTGACTTTAAACATGTTGACTACACAAATATAATATGTTAGGGAACTTTAAAAGGTGGTGTTCTGTTACCTTTGGACAGATCCAGGTTAGCTGTTTCTTCTGTTTTTAAGCCTTTATGGTAAGCTAAGCTAATTGACTCCTGACTGCAACTTCATATTTAACAGACAGGTAGAGGAGAGGAGTGGTATCAGTCTTCTCAGCTAAATCTTGGCATCAGCATAAATATATTTTAAATATTCTTTGAAGAAGCGACATTTAAGTTGTGTTATTGCTGCGTTGCCAACATTAGCATTAACAGCTGTATACTTACCAGTCTTGCTTTAGCCGTGATTGCGTTATAGAGGTTATAATATGCCCTTTTAGCAGTGCTACTTCTTGAGGACAGACTGGACACTATATTGACTCGGTATCGGAAAGTGACGAGGCAGGCTAACCAACTTCGAACTAACTTCAGTAGAAGAAAAGACATGATAGAAATAGAAGCACAACAAGAGTTGGTGTTGCTGGAGACAGCTCTTGGCAATTAAAGGACTGAAGTTTGTTGTTGAACTTGTTTCCTATAGACGAGTAATGCTAACGTTGGCTATGTAGCATTAGCAAAACTATCCAGCACCACCTCTGTCCATTGCTCATTCCTACTGACCTTTTTTCTTCTTTTTTTCCCCCCACAGTGGCCATGGCTATTAACCATGAAGCTGGAGCCTAACATGTCCATCGCTTCCTCCTTCTGTCAAAAAAAGCTTCTCTGGTGCTACATTGAACATACACTCTTTGAATATGCCATCCAAGTGCGAGAAAGCCCAACGGACTGCTTAACACCTGCTGTAAGTACCAACACTCTCTGACTTCCAGTGTTTGAGTGTTTACTCATGACACTCAAACCAAGTCAAATCCAAAAAGACATAAACCCATCCTCCTTCTGAGTGAGTCATTTCCAAATCGTGCCTCCTCTGTTCAAATACTTAGGTATCGCACTTACGCTCTGTACACATGGATAACATATTTACATTTCTTTAATTTTATTTGAAAAGAGTTATGTCTAACTTGATATATTGTTCGCCACGCTGTGGGTTATTGCCTGCAATGAATTTCAATTTACCTCCAAAATCATGGCAGATTGAAATTTATGTACACACAAATGACATATTTACATACTGCATATCCTCTAAAGCTGAAATCACTTCACCAAGTCTGACAGGTAGCATTAATTATTATAAATATATTCATCATACATCTGAAATAATGTGCTCATTATGCATACAGGTAATTTGATAAATGTGTGGTACAATGTCAAATATCAGGTGGGGTTTTTTTTTTGTAGCTCTACCTATTACCTATATACCTAATTTCGTGCAATGAAGTCATAAAATGGCTTAACGCTAATGGTTGTATCATTGGACCATAAATACAGCATGTATATGTAACATCAGTATCAGTTAAGTTACAAGAGCTTGTCCTTCATCAGCTGATACAAATAAGATCATGACCCTGAAGTAAAGACCTTGAACACTGTCAGTGTCGTGATTCAGGAGAGAGTAGGGTGGGGTAATTGCATAAGGAAAATTCAGATAATATCAGGTAAGTAGTCATTCATAAGATATTGTATATACACAATATTGAGCTGCATACATCTTCATAGTACTTCTTTTACAATATTGTCCTTTTTAGAAGTGACTCACTTTTCTCATTTGAATCATTTAATTCAGTTTACTACTCACTATGTTTTCATATTTCTTCCTAAAGCCACATTAATCTATATTTTTATATGAACAAAAGATCAAATAAATGTGTGTATTCCTACCCAACTCTGCAGTTCCCCTAAATTTACAGAGCACTGAAGCATCCTTCACTTCATTGTTTTGCTTTTACCACTTGTAACTTTACTTTTCTGGTTCAGTCTTGGTGCTCTCAGCATCTTTCCAGTGACAGTTGGCTGCTGTTTGAAAAACAGCTCCGATAAACCCACTGTACACTACCTGCCCACCACAAAATTTAGCAAGCAGCTGGTGAACATAGTGGAGCATTTAGCAGCTGACGAGTCAGGTATTTCCCTCAGGACTTGGTGGAGACCAAAGCAGAGGCTAGACACAGAGCACCAAATGAATGCGAATGTTGCTCAGTGTTTCCTGGATGTGTAAATAGGCAACAGTTTGTTTTGCTGTTATGACCTTGATGTTGTCAATGCTACATTTGGGAATTGCCCCGCCCCCCCAAAAAAAAAAAAAAAAAATCTATTAATGCATCTTTAAGCTAAGTGACTGATTGGCATTCAAATGCACATCAGTATAGTGTACACATTAGTAAGCAATTGCATCTCTGAGATGGTGCTTCTGACTGTCTTTAGTTCAGACTCTGCGCTGCTTTGTTTGTTTTAGTCTAACAGCTCATAGACAATCCGTCTGCAGCAATATTATCTCATCGTGATCACTTCTGTCAGTTTTACATTCTTTTGACTGCGTGATGGCTGAGCTGACCCTGGTGCTTTCAGTCATCAGAGACTGGAGCTCCAATGTAAAAAGCACTAGTGAGTGCACGATGCTTGAAGTCTGGGTGATTCAGTATTAAATCCTTCTCCATTAGCTCCCCAGTTCAACATATTTGCATATTAGATCAGACAAGAATACATGTCTGCCCCTGCGGTTCATCCTCAGAAGTTCCAAAAGCCATCAGATCGGGTGTCACTCTGTCACGGCAGACAATCTCTGCAGACAAAAAGGACGTCATGTAAGGCAATGTGCGAGCACTTGATATCAACAACCTCACTTTTCACTCCGGGAGTGCGTGCTAGCATTATCAGCAGACATGGCGACTACACACACACACACACACACACACACACATATACACATATACACACACACCGCTGTTTGATGCTGTTCCACCAACAACACTGTCAAGCACTCTCCCTCTTCATCATAGCGATGCTGTCCAGAACCATATCTCAAATGGAGTTTCGGCTCTTTGAACTGAGATTGTGTATAAGTGTGTTTGTGTGTGTATATGTGTGTGTGCGTGTGCTCATTTCTCTGTCTTGCTGCATATCTGTGTCTCCCATTTGCATGCGGGTTCATGTCTCTTTGTGTATGTGCTCTTGTGTTTAAGTGACTGTATATTCATCTGTCTACTTTTTTTCTGAGTGTGTGTTTGTTCACATAACTCCCCCAAAGGACGATCAGGTCACTTCTGTGTCAAGCCAGCCAAATCCTTGGCACAGATTAACAGGAGAGGGCAACGCCAGCCTTTGAGGGCAAGAGCAGAGGGAGCAGTCGCATCAATTAGAAACCGGCAACCCGACCACCCAGCCCTACACTCACACTGGCTGGCTCAAGATAACAGAGTCCACACACTCACACGCGCGCACACACACACGCTCAGACAGATAGGCACACACACAGATGCACTCTCCGCATACCCACTCATAACTTGGTACCTAATACATATGCAACAGCGCACCAAACATCATCCATTAGCTGCAACAGGGGCCTGAGCGTGCTGCTACAAGTGTCAAATATGCATGAGGGAGTGGAGGTCTGTGTCTCATAATCCTCGAGGCAATTAATACAATCGTTTCCAGGGCCAAGCACCTAGATGCACATATCAAACCTCTCCCTGGGCTTGTTGAATTTTTTAGGTGGACTAATTTACAGGTACGTTGGCCAGAGGCTTGCTTTTATGGATTGGAGCCGTCGAGAAACAGACGGCTCGCCATACATTGAGAATTTTCTATAGTGATGTATGGGGCTGTGGGGAACACATTCAAGGTGGGAAACACTGCTGGAGATGCTGTGTTTAAAGATAAAAAACTCTTTGCTCTCCTAATTGTATTTTAGCACTAATTGAACAACTAAGCTGAGTTTAGTTTAAATTCAGGTTTAAAGGTCCCACATTGTATAGAGTGAGATTTCCATGTCTTTTTTTGATTATAAAGCAGGTCAGGACATTAAGATGGTTTTTGGTTCTTAAAACCACAAATATATCTTCTTATGGATCAACACTTCAGATGAAACACAGGAAAAGTGTAAAATATGGGACCTTTAAGTGATCAGTGATAATGATAATAATACACTGTAGCTGTTTCCAGAAACATTTCTGTTGAGTCCTGAACCATTTAACATTTACAACATACAAATGTGGTATTTGTAGACTTGACTGTCATGGAGAATTGCGTTGCTGATCCTGCAGAGATGCTCCTGCAGAGTGTGTTGTCGTCTTCAGTATATTGTAAAGCATTTAATTCTGCCAAGCTTTTGTGTGTGTGTGTGTGTGTGTGTGTGTGTGTTGCAGATGTTTTAGCCTCCAGTCAGATATTGACTGAAATGTTCAGCCTAGTGTGAGGAGAGGGGGGCTGGTATTCAGAGGCATTGGGGTTGGTGGAGAAGCAGTATTGATTGCACTTAAAGTGACAAGATTGAGGAGGCCCACTTTGACACGTTATCCCTATTGCCGCCAACAGACAAAGTGCGGGCCAGAGGAGCTGCGCCGATTGATTTCTGTGATCATGAATGGCCTGAGACCCATGAATCAGTCGTCCCAAGCTATGTGCTGCTTGAGAATAAGTCAACAATTTTTCATAGCACTGTGGTAATGTAAGGACTGGCAGCCTATTTGATTTAAAAGGACAAGTAAATACTGTGGTAATGAATGGGCCCCATGCACATTCTGACAAGTTGAAAAGTCCTCACAGCTCTGGCAATAATAACCCCGCGCGTAAAGCACGTAGACTGGTAGTATATTTAAGGCGGCAGGCATTGCGGGCAGCCGGTTCGGGCATCTATGGGATTTTGTTGTGCATAATTCACTGGCGAGGCAAGAAGGCTGATATAGCCTCTCCGCTTCTTATGATCATCCATCAGGTAGAATTGCTTTTTTCTAACATTAGCCTGTCAGCGAGAAATAACAAATGTAGCCATGCAGAGCAACACATGATTACAGGGTAATAATGCCCCGAGGTCAGGGGAATGTGACCTCATTCACAGCGGCTTGGTGATGGGAGCAAGTGAAATACTTGTCGCATTAGATGAAGAGTCACCGGGGAATGGCTCATCTTCATCTGAGGAGGCTGCTGTCAGGTGCCCCCGCACCCCCCATGCTGTAGTGAAATCATTGGAACTGCATGTTTCATATAATTGAAAACATGTCACTTTCACCGTGATGATGTTCTTATAAAAGAAAAATTAACTGGTTGAAAACTGGTCCTCCAACTTAGGTTTCTTCTCCCCACCCTCGGATACAGAGCGTTGCCAGCGGCATGCTTACCGGACCTCCGTCACCATGGTAACATAGATTATAATAGATTTAGGCACAAAATCTACTTGGTTAGGTTGAAGAAAAGATTCTGGTTTGGGTTAGAATAAGTATTTCCTTAAAGTAATAGGACTCTCGTCGTCATGGTTACAATATGAAAAATGTGGTTAAGGATGTTTTTTTCCACCCATCCATCCACTTCAGCCTCCTCCTAACATTGTTGCTCTTTATACTACCTCACCTGACTTCCTCCTTTGCTCCCGTTCTAATTAAAGCCACAATGTGTTGCCTCACAATAAAAACACAACTGTGGGTCGTAATAAGCTGCAGGCACAGACGACAGTTGTTCTAAAGCATGCAGGAGCGTGATTGAAAACATTTACATCACCTCTGTTTCTGGAGGGCTCCTTGACCACTTGTCAAAAAAATAAACAAAACACATATTTCCAATAGTGGAGGGCTATTTCAAGCCCCACATTTGCTCTGATTGATATTGTGCAAATCCATCAGAATAATCTTCCAGGAAATTGCACAGGGCTTTGCGGAGGGTCTATTCGAGATACGGGTGCACTCACGGGCT